GCTGGGGCTACAGGGAGACCCTGTCTCAAAAAGACCAAAAAAAAAAGGAGGAAACTATAAGTCCTTGGAAGGGAGACAGGGAGACAGGGACTATTCCATTTTGCTCTAAGAGTACCCTATGGACAAACATGAGGGTTGGTCTTATAGGTGACAGGACTTCACCTTTATGTAGGTCTTTGGGGCCCAAACCAGCTGGCTACATGTGTATTTTAATTCTCATGCCCCCCTCCCCTTGTGTCCCCAGGATCCAGTCATCAGGGGCAGCAGGTGGAGATGGTCGCCCTTTCCCAGCTAGGAGAAGACAGTGAGGATGGCTTTCTGCTAGAGGCTCCCTGCCACCTGGTATCAACCTCCAGCCAGCCCTTCTCAGTGGGTCCCTGAGGCTCTAACCACCAAGTATGATGGTTTCCTTCAGCGTCACCCTGCTGCTCCTCACCCAGCCCCACAGCCACTCTAGCCACCTCCTGTGAGGACTTCATTCTGCTTGTGCCTACTCAGAAGAGGCCTCAATGTCAGTCCATCTTATTCACCCAAAGTCCCTTCATTCCTTCCTCCATATCACACTTACAGGACACATGATCTTTCCAGGGAGAGGCTTTCAAAGCGATTCCTTGATTGGAGGAATCATCCTACATCACCTGGTTGGTGATGTACCAGAGAAGTTGAGCACCATCTGCTGGGGAGCACAAGGGGAGAGCCAGGGTTGGAAGTGGTGGGGGAGAGTGGTGAGAGGGAAGGGAAGACTCCCAACAGAGTCCCCTGGAACGACAGAGGAACTTTGAAAGGTCTGGAGGGTGAAGGGCGAGAAGAAAGGAGGGCAGACAAGCTGCACCACTATGGGTTAGTTTAAGGAGTGTAGCCCTGCTTGAAGTTAGGTTACAGATCAAATCTCAAGGAGAGGCAACCATCTGGTACTGTGGGAATGGTTTAGGTGGGGGAGATAGTCCAGAAAGGTGTCTAGGACAGGGACTCAGAAGTGTTCTGAGTGTGGACCCCACAGGCCTTGGTGACCATCTGAATGGAGCAGAGGTCAGAATGAGGGAGAAACAAACATCTTAAGGTTCCCACTTGCCTCGTTCTCAAAACTGTTCACATGGTGGGAAGGAAGCAACAAGGCCCCTCATTTTTTATAGCTGAGTATGAGGTACAGGTGAGAAAGATGTACAGACACACCTGGCACAGCCCCTGGAGGCCTATGGATGCAGGAGAATTCTGTAGATTTGTGAAAAGGAAGGTAACAAGGCAAGAGGATGAAAAGCTAGCCAAGAACTGTGCAGGAGGCATGGGAGATCCAGGGGTGGGCAGAAAAAGTGATGCCCAAACCTGCCCCAAGCAGACCAAGACCAGAGTAGCAAGGACCCAGGAGAGGACTGAGGTTTGGAAGCCCAGAGAAGATGGCTTAGAAAGGGTCAGGTCAGCAGAGTTTCAGGCCATGGAAGCCTGAGGATGGTCACTGAAGAGAGACAGGATTGTAAAGAGGTGACCTTGGTTAAACACAGGGACCCTGTGACTTGCTAGCTCCTTGAAGACTGAGACTGTGACTTCTTCAATTTTGTAGAGCAGCTGTCAGTGTGACTTGGCCCTTCCTCCTACCTGAGCCCAGCCCCAACCCTGCTCAGGTCAGGTCCCTCCCAGTGGATGGCTATTCCTGCCTCTACTGGTTGCTGTCCCCTGAAGGCCTGAGACTCAGGCTTCAGCGACTAGCGTACTACGTTCACTGGTACATCGCTGGAGTCTAGTGTAGTGCCTGGTTCCCAGCAAGTGCTCGATAAATGCTCATAAGCTACATATCTGAAGGATAGCCAGGGTCCTTACTGTCTGATGGCAGACAGCATTGATTTTTCCCACCGCATGAGCCCCTGGGTTTCAGTATGACATTTTCTTACATATGCGCCATTATACTTTGTTTTAGTTCATCTCCTTCCCCCACTGGCTTCTCCCATGCACCCTGTCCCCTCTCTGGCTAGTTCTTTTCCTTCTCACAAATAGTCTCACCTTCTATTTTCTAATTTTTGGCCCCAGGTTTGCAATCCTCCCGCCTTAGTTTCTTAAGTGTTTGGGCTTCAGGCATGTTTTTCGTTTTCTAATGATTGTGTGCACAGGGTAGAGGTCATAAGGACCTGAGTCTGACCTTTGACTTCTACTAGAACTCTCTGGGTGACCATGGACTGGTCACCTCTACTCCCTCAGGACCAGACAATCTTTATTCTGTGGGACTACAAAGCGCTTCACAGTCCGGACATCATTCAAACCCCACACCAACCCTTTCACCCTTGTACAGAAAAGGGAACCAAAGTCCAAGGAGCTCAACTGACATGGCCAAGGTTACCTAGTGATGATCTTTCCCCTTGGTACCCAGCTGCCATGCAGACCTGCTGCCCACTCTCAGACAGTGCAGACCAAGGTTTCCCAGGGACCTGATCCCAGGGACCTGACATGCTATAGACAAGCAAGAATGGTCTTGCTTATCACACAGCTCTTCCTGAAAGACCAGCCTGGGATGCAGCACCCAGATGGTGGCAGATGTGGAGAATGCCCTGCAAAGAACAAGGCAGGAAGGCAGACTTGGTACAAGGGCCTGCCTCCCAGCTGCTGGCTATCCCTTCCTCTGCCGAATGCTGTCCCCTGAAGGCCTGTTTGGTGACTGCAAGACAGTCTTCCAACTGACAGGTGTGGTGTCAGTGACTCATGGTTTTGGGGACCCAAAGCAGCTTCTCCCAGTCCCCCTGTCTACCTGTTCACCTGTTCACTGAGGCCC